ATATTTATTCAACTATTTATGTAACTTTTTTCTTACTTTATTGTTAATTACCATTCGTATCTGTATTTTTGAAGTATTTTTATTGTTTAGCATTAAATTTTTTATTATTTTGGTTCCAGACTACTACATAGTCTAGTAATAGGGTTTGAGATTACTTAGTAATTTATTTGTTGCTATCACTACAAATCTATTATATAATAGTAAAAATGAATGCTATATTGTAATTATGATGACCAAGAGGAGATCTTTACACTCATATTTTGCAATGAATTTAATATGGAAGGAGTAATATGAAATTCTCCAGTGTTAAATTCTGACTTTTAATCACAAAATTCTTCTATTCCCAATAGAAGTGATGAAGAAGAATATAAGAGGTAACAGAAATTTGGTAAAACTTTCTGTATTTAGTGGAGAATAAATAATCTATGATTTTTATTTAACATTAAAGTCTAATAAATTTAAGTTCAGTACAAATATTGGTTGTCTATAACATCTGGACGGATGTGCAGTGTGTGGCACAATGGATAATGACTTGGTATGAGAAATCAGAAAGCCAAGTTCAGATTTCATCTAGGCTTCTTGCATTCACTTACACACAAATACCCTTGGGAAAGGTATGAATCCATCTCTTCCTCACCCCAGCTATGGTTTTAATAAAAGGACAGACTGAGTCCTATAGGCTTGTTTGACAACCAGTCTACTGCATAACGAAATATCTGCTGATTGTGGGAAATCTTCTGCCTAGTCAGTCATGAAAAGAAAGAGACATGATTACCTGAGTGTGCATCGTATATGATACTTAACACCTGGATAAACAATAGCCTATCATTTATATTTTCTTTGGATATGAGACATATACTTTTCAAGTCAAGGATGAATCATTAACTATCATCCTTATAATCTATAGCAGTCACTCTCTACCTTGAGGGGTTCTTGAGCTTTGTAATGTGTGAATTTTCGCATAAAAAAGATTCTCTTTTATTACACTGTTAATGTATCCATAAAATAATAATGGCAATTGTTAGAAAGTTTTAATAGTGAGATGCAATGAAACAAAAGTCTTGAATTAATGTATTGAGATTCAATAAAACAAAGATAAAGAATTGACAACTAAAATAGACGCCAATGAAACATTTAATCTGTTCCTGTTATATTTTGTAGATGTTCAATTGTATCTAGGATTCATTGATTTTTCTTGCTATTATATAAATTGCTTATGCTCAATATTTTTTCATGTTAAACATTTTATGTGTTGAATATAACAGGGAAATGGAAATATTTCTCGGAAGAAAAAGACTAGCAACAGAACAAAATAAACGGCAATAGCAAAGCCTATTTCAAGACTAAGGTAATTGACAAAGGTATCTGAGTGCCTCACATGAAAGGCTTGAACAAATAAGATTGCAGTGTAAGAAATGTAGGAGTAAAGAAATTAATTAATTTTTTAATCAACATCACACTCATGCAAGGCAGTAAAGCTACTAAGAGACAAGGGGTTACAGGGCATGGAAGAATTAGGAACAGAAACATTAATAATGAGCAGGAAGAGAAAAGAGTAATCAGGAAGACAGTAGATAGATTTTTCTTTCTTGTAATTCTTTCTTTATTGTTTTTTTGTTAAAATAAAACCCTGTAAAAAATACTACAAACAGTAAAAATTTGGGGGGAGCCAAGGCCCCTCCCTGGCTGCTACAGCCCAGCATTAGGTTAAACATTTACTTTTGTCAAGGCAGCACCTAAACTGGAATACAACAGACTCTTTTTATGTTGTATGTAAACAGCATTTTTTTCAATTTAATTATGAAAGAATATAAATATGATTGGAAATGAACACTTTCATAAGAGATTTAGAGGAAAGAAGTAAATTTCCTTAACTTTTTACGATGTGTGAGTTTTTCCATTTGCAAACTTTATTTGTATCCGTGTCAAAATAAGTTGCGATGTACAAAAGAAAGTTTGGAATTTTCCTGATTATCCTGGAATTCTTGATTCTTTATCCATTTAGACAGTTACACACATATTATATATATATATATATATATATAAAACTCTGCACAAAGGAAAGTTATTTGATTTAGACATATATATATATGGCTTCTAGTAAGAAAATGAAAGATTTATAAAAACGAAATCAACATAAGACTCTAAGAACATTTTTTTTATTAATTTCCAGTCTAAGATTATTTCAAAGATGAGATTAAATCTTGAATAGTTTTACAATGTGATTATTGATTCTAAGTGAATCAATGACCGTGTTTCTTCACTACAATATGTGCAATTAGATAATCATTTCTAAAAAGTAATTAAAAGACACAAATTACTAATTACTGTTGCAGTCGAAAACTAGTCAAAAAAAGAATAAAGAGCAGACTGACTGAGGAAGAAAAAATAAATTTAACTAAAATATTCCATTGTAGATTATTACTTTTTTTTTTTACTATTTTTTGAAGAGATACTTCTTTTTTGTTTGTGAGGTCATATCTCTGACCTTTTCATGTTAAGTAGGCATTTAGAAACATTAAAGTTAGCTCAATGGTGAGTGAATAAAGCTTAAGGCTTTCATTATTGTACATTACTATTTATTTATTTTTTATTTTTGTGTAGTTTCTTCATCTTTTATGTTATTACACTTCAGCATGATGTTTTTAGATGGCCTATTCAAATAACAGAAACCACATCACTTGAGGACTACAAACAGCAGCAACAATTAAAATGGATAGCATGAAGAGAATTGATTCAAATGAGTAAAGCATGTAGGTTTTAGTGAGGACCATCCTTCTTCAAACCTCATGGACTGGTGTTACAGAATCACTGAGAACTGTACCAAATAACAGAAACCACATCATTTGAGGATTACCAACAGCAGCAACAACTAAAATGGAAAGCCTAAAGAGAATTGATTCGTGTGACTAAAAATTTTAGCGAGGACCATTCTTCATCGGACCTTGTGAAATGGCACTACAGAATCACTGAGAAATGTACCAAATAACAGAATCTACATCACTTGAGGACTTTCAACAGCCGTAACAACTAAGATGGATAAAATGAAGAGAATTGAGTCAAATGAGTAAAGTATGTAGGTTTTAGAGAGGACCATCCTTCTTCAGACCTCGTGGACTGGTGCTACAGAATCACTGAGAACTGTACCAAATAACAGAAACCACATCACTTGAGGACTACCAACAGCAGCAACAACTAAAATGGATAGCACATGTAACTCAAAGAGAAAATAATGACATAATCAAGATGTTAACAATCCACACCATTTCAAGTAGAAGGTTAGGTAGGAAATCTCCATAAATACTGGAAAGATTGATAACAGCTACTGGATTTTAGAAATCTGTTTTCCTGAAAAAATGTTTTAGGAAAAAGATTTTGTAAATTTCAACTGAAAACATTGGCTGCTTGGTCAATGACTGCCAAATGTTTCCTTCTAGGGAAAAAGATAATATTACCATACCAGTTTTTTTCAATGTGATGTTTTTAAATGAGCCATTCTTCTTCAGCTGTTAAATTCCATAAATGATAAACAAAGCAGCAGTATTTTTTTAAGATTATATTTATATTTTATTTTTTTAAATGCAAATCATGAAAATGAAATGAAAGTATAGAAATTCTATAGCTGTCAAGAATTAAGATTATCCTTTCAACTCTGCTCTCAAATATTTTGTTTGTATCTTCTTATGCTTTTCCTTATCCCTCCCTATCTTTTTTGACCATCTATATTTTTATCTAAATGTTATATAACCATGGATTAGTTTCAAATGCCAAAATAAAAGTCTCTTTTTTTCTCTGTCATTCTTTCACTTATTGAAAGCGCTACCAAACCATCACATTCCACAGACATTATCTAATAGTGAGCAATCAAAGGGACATTATGATGATGACTGGAAGGAACATTTCAAGCACACATTAAAACAACAGATCCTAACTCTATCTACTGCTCTAAAGTCTGTGAGGCCAATGAAGAGCCACAGAAGTTTATACATAAATAATATTTAATACTTGTGATTAATTAATATTTTCTTCTGAATTAATTGCATTAACAAAAAATCGATCTGACAGTATGAAGAAAAATATATGGAAAAACAAAAATCCGAATATGCAAATATGCTGTTTTAATGTTGTTTCAATGTCGACATCAGACGTTTCGGTCAAGTAGACCTTCTTCAGGACATAGTTATTAAAACATAATTAACATTAGACGATATTCAAGTCAACATGAAAAGACAATAGACATAAGAGTAAGACTAATCAAAATGTCCTGAAGAAGGTCTACTAGACCGAAACGTCTGACGTCAACATTGAAACAACATTAAAACAGCATATTTGCATATTCGGATTTTTGTTTTACCATATATTTTTCTTCAAATCAGATTATATAAAAAATTTTCATCACTGGGCTACAGATTGATTGATTTTAAAACAAAACTACATCTCCAGCTATAGGTTAAATAACAGAATAAACTGTGATTCTAGCCTTGATTGGTAGCCAGTCTATGAGACTGACTATTCTGAATAGAAAATGCTGGAGAAGGGAAGAGGATAGCATCCTGACTATCTTTCATGAGAATTCATGTCAATTCACAGATAATAAAGAAAAGAAAGCTGTGGAGATCCACGATCATTTAAGGTACATAGCATTTAAAGAAACAGACAAAAAATCATTCTAATCACACTTCATCATTGCAGTAATTATGTTTTATTTTATCTCTTTTATTTAGATTAACTTTTTAGTATGTGACTTGATTCTTTACCAAAAATTGCCATGTGAACCATGTTTGACCATTTTTGTATTTTGAATGAAACTTGAGGCATCACTGGCCCACCCCATTAGTTTTAACAGAGATACTTCTGCCTTAATCTAAGATTTCAGTTGACCTTCTGGTGCAATGTTTGCTAAAATTAGATCCGAGTTTTCTTGTTTGGATCATCGTCTATTTAATGGTTTAATCCTGATTGACATCTTCAGTGATTCCACTTGTCAAAATCGTTGTCAGATTCTTCATCATTATTTCTGTTGATTGACTTTTTCTCTCACCTGAATAGTGACTATTTACTCGACTTGAGGAGAGATTTCATTGCATCTCTCTCTCTCTCTCCATCTTTTCTCTCACTTGTTGAAAACAAAAGTAAGACTGATTAATCTTGATCATTGCATCTGATCATACAATATTTCACTAGCAATTGGAGTGCAAAAATTTCACCTCAGTCTACAATTGAGAATTTGATCTTAAAAAATGAATAATAAACACCACTTCTTTAAAAAAAATCAGGTTAAGTCTTTCAATATTGATGAAAAGAAATGTTAAGGACAATTTTCTACATGAACATGTTTTGCTTGTTTTTCCTGTCTGAATTTCTGGGATAAGGAGTTATTATTTATATTACAATTATTATTATAATTGTTCACATCCTTCTTGTTGTCACCCCCAGCATTCAAAGTTAAGCAAAGTCAAGCCGGGTCAGGGTGCGATGGATAAATTGTCGTCTAAATTGCACGAACATGAAACTAACACTGAACTATCATTTTAACAGATATATTTCACAAAATGACACAAAAATATCTTGACATACTAAAGAGTAAATTTATTCAATAAAATCGCTATTGGCTTCAACCACAGCCTCCAGATGACTTCAGAATCTCCTGCATCTCTTCTGGGCGGTCACCTTGTTTAATTTGGTGAATGCTGCCATAATCCTTGCCTTCAGTTCATCTTCCATCTAACAAGGAGTTTTGTTGGTCTCTTGCTCAACTACATTCCACACATAATAATCAAGGGTGTTGCAGTCTGGGCAGTTAATTAACAGGTATACACATCTTTTCTTCAGTATCTGTCTATATTTCTGAGATGAGGTATTATGTACATTGTTGTCCTCATCTTTGTCACCATATTTATTACAACATTTCGGCCGTTGTATGCTCAGGCCTTCTGAGGGTGGTTGGAATGTTGAACTGAACCCTTTATTTCGCTCACTAGTGTAGACTGTTCTAGTTCCACGTGCCATGTTTAATGGATGTCAGTTATCAGTTATCTCCTGTTAATTCCCCTCTCCAAGTTCTCCACTGCCTTAACCGGATAGTGAACACACTCTTTGAGTCCTGTCACTGGATCTAACCAAGGCCTTTATCTACTGTGCCATGTGTCCTTGAGGACATCTGGGTATGAATTTCTGGGTATTATAAATCTAATGTCTTCAGCAACCGTTTTTACCAGTGCTCATATTGTAATTTTTGCTGTTATCATTTTAAGTTTTTTTACCAGAGCTCATATTGCAATGTTTTATTTATTATCACTTTTCTCTGGTATTCCTTATGACTGGTTCCCATATTGTATTCATTTCCATGCTTGAATTCATCTTTTCTTTATTTTTATTTTATTATTGTTTGGAATTCAGATACTTGGCTTTTTAATATAAAAACCTGGACAAATGAATATCCTACAGATTTGCAATGATGCCTCATCTTTCTGGTTTCAACCATATTAAAAAATCAGCATCTTTTAATGCAGTTCTTCTTTATGTGCCATGTCCCTTCAGGATCTAGGTGATCATAGCTCTCCACAACTTTCTTGCTTTCATAACTCTTAATAATTTTTTTTTTGTTATTTTTCCAAAACTGTGTTCCACCATCCTTTTATTCAAACTCACTAAGTATGATATACATTGTTTTCCTCTGTCCCTCTTGCCTTCAATCTGTCCTGTGAGTCTCAGATTTTCCAAGCCCTCTTTCTTCATATTGTGCCCTAGAGATAGAAACTATCTCTTCCTGATATTAAGTATAAGTGTCCTTTTACAATTGGAACCCTGCTCTCTGATTAACAATTCTGAGTTTTTATCTATTACACCACCCACACATCCAAGCTTACAGAAGCTCGTATTTCCAAACAGTAATTCTATGTACTGACCAGACTCTATCTTGATTAACTTTGGTGATGTACAGGAACTGATGTTTCAATGTGATAGGGTCAGAAGCTAAGCATTTTGTTTGTTGCTTATTTTATATTCTATATAACATGTTATAATTTATAAAAACATTTAGATTTCTGAAATATGATTTTAAAGTGTCAACATGACTTATGTTCATGGTCATATTACTTATGTTCCTGGCTACATTACTTATGTTCCTGGTTACATTACTTATGTTCCTGGTTACATTACTTATGTTCCTGGTTACATTACTTATGTTCCTGGTCACATTACTTCCTGGCTACATTCTTGTGGTTCTGATCATACTTTCCTGGTTACATTACTTATGTTCCTGGTTACATTACTTATGTTCCTGATTACATTACATTTCCTTATGTTCTTGGTAACTGGTAACATTACTTATGTTCCTGGTCATATTATTTATTACTTATGTTCCTGGTTACATTTCTTATGTTCCTGGTCACATTACTTATGTTCCTGGTCATATTACTTATGTTCCTGGTCATATTACTTATGTTCCTGGTCATATTACTTATGTTCCTGGTCATATTACTTATGTTCCTGGTCATATTACTTATGTTCCTGGTCATAGTACTTATGTTCCTGGTCATATTACTTATGTTCCTGGTCACATTACTTATGTTCCTGGTTACATGTTCCTGGTCATATTACTTATGTTCCTGGTTACATTTCCTTCATGTTCCTGGTCACATTTCTTATGTTCTTGGTCACATTTCTTATGTTCCTGGTCACATTTATTATGTTCCTGGTCATATTACTTATGTTCCTGGTCATATTTCTGGTCATATTACTTATGTTCCTGGTTACATTTCTTATGTTCTTGGTCACATTTCTCCTTCATTTCTTATGTTCTTGGTCACATTTTTTATGTTCTTGGTCATATTACTTATGTTCCTGGTCATATTTTATTATGTTCCTGGTTACATTTCTTATGTTCCTGGTTACATTTTTTATGTTCCTGGTCACATTTCTTATGTTCTTGGTCACATTTCTTATGTTCTTGGTCACATTATATTATGTTCCTGGTCATATTACTTATGTTCCTGGTTTGCATTTCTTATGTTCCTGGTCACATTTCTTATAATTCTTGATCACATTTCTTATGTTCTTGGTCACATTACTTATGTTCCTGGTCATATTACTTATGTTCCTGGTCATTTCTTATGTTCCTGGATTTACATTTCTTATGTTCTTGGTCACATTTCTTATGTTCCTGGTTGGACATTTGTTATGTTCCTGGTCATATTACTTATGTTCCTGGTCATATTACTTATGTTCCTGGTTACATTTCTTATGTTCCTGGTCACATTTCTTATGTTCCTGGTCACATTTCTTATGTTCTTGGTCACATTTCTTATGTTCTTGGTCACATTACTTATGTTCCTGGTCATATTACTTATGTTCTGGTTTTTCATTCCTTATGTTCCTGGTTACATTTCTTATGTTCCTGGTCACATTTCTTATGTTCTTGGTCACATTTCTTATGTTCTTGGTCACATTACTTATGTTCCTGGTCATATTACTTATGTTCCTGGTTACATTTCTTATGTTCCTGGTCACATTTCTTATGTTCTTGATCACATTTCTTATGTTCTTGGTCACATTACTTATGTTCCTGGTCATATTACTTATGTTCCTGGTCATATTACTTATGTTCCTGGTTACATTTCTTATGTTCTTGGTCACATTTCTTATGTTCTTGGTCACATTACTTATGTTCCTGGTCATATTACTTATGTTCCTGGTCATATTACTTATGTTCCTGGTTACATTTCTTATGTTCTTGGTCACATTTCTTATGTTCCTGGTTACATTTGTTATGTTCCTGGTCATATTACTTATGTTCCTGGTCATATTACTTATGTTCCTGGTCATATTACTTATGTTCCTGGTTACATTTCTTATGTTCCTGGTCACATTTCTTATGTTCTTGGTCACATTTCTTATGTTCTTGGTCACATTACTTATGTTCTTGGTCACATTACTTATGTTCCTGGTCATATTACTTATGTTCCTGGTCATGTTAATTATGTTCCTGGTCATGTTACTTATGTTCCTGGTTACATTTGTTATGTTCCTGGTCATAGTACGTATGTTCCTGGTCACATTACTTGTGTTCCTGGTTATATTTCTTATGTCCTGGTTACATTACTTTTGTTCCTGGTCACGTTACTTATGTTTCTGGTTACATTATTTATGCTTCTGTTTATATTACTTACTCCTTAGAAATGATTTAAATACAAAGGCACATTTACAGTTAACTCTAACCGATTTCATTGCAAAAAATGGCTTTATTTTTTAAATTTGGAATTTAATTAAAAACCAATCAGTTATTCAGAAAATCAGACATGACTAGATTCTTCTTCTCTTGATGTGTTATGTCCCTTCAAGATGTAAGTGATCATGGCTCTCCACATCTTCCTGTCCTTTATAGCTCTTCTTGTTATCTCTCATAAACTCTGTTCTGTCATTCATTTTAATCAAGCTTACTAAGGAAGTTATGCATTGTTTTCCTCCATCCCTCTTGCCCTCTATCTGTCCCATAAGTATTAGATTTTCCAAGCCCTCTTTTCTCATTATATGTCCTAGAAACCTCAACTGTCTTTTCCTGATTTTACATATAAGTTTCCTTTTTCTTCCCATTTTCTCTAAAACTTCCTTGTTGCTCACATATTCAGTCCATTGTATCCTCAGCATCCTTCTGTTGTTGCAAGTCTTTTCTTCATCTTTGAGGAGATTGTCTGGCATTCACTGCCATACAGGAGGACAGATATCCCATGTGGTTAGTTGATCAAAAAATTAATGAATTAACAGGAAAAGTAGAAAGATCTACAAAACAAGAAATGGCTGGACATCAACCATTGAAATTAGAATCTAAAGTCTTTATAGTCTGACTAAACTCAGAAAAGAGTAAATATATAAAAAAACTGCAACATCATACTGCATTTCCACACTGTCAAGGAAAGTCAGTATAGTATCATGAGGCATTGCTGGGGTGTCCTAATTTGGTGATAACGATGCTTCATGAAAACGTGGTTGTAGGCACTCTTGCTGTGTTGAAGTTGTAGTTATGTATGAACATATTATTTATTTATTATCTGCTTTGCATATCTAGGAATCTGAATATGAACATCTATACAACAGTATATATAAACATATGTGTGTGCACATTAATAGACAAAAATTACCTTAATCTGACTTGGCCACACATACATCATACTATTGGTATTTCTTTTTAGATATAAGCGGGTGCTGCAAAGTTCTCAGCTGTACAGATATCACCACCAAAGCATGCCAAAAAAAAAAAAAATTCACAGACTTCGTTATTTAGACAAATTTTGGGAAGTGGGTCTTAGTGAAATAACAACAGCACCCCCCCTCATGTGGAGTTGTAAATTGAAATGAAATTTCTTTTAATAAAGATTTTTTTAAATTCTAACAAAATAAGCAAAAGTCTTTCCTTTTCAATATATATATATATATATATATATATATATATATATATATAAATGCAAATATAAAAAAAAAATAACAATTTGAAAAGGTTTTCCAATTTTAATAAAATTTGAAAAACCTCATATAATTAGTAAATTCCTACGCAAGAGTTTCTGTCCGCAGGGAGAAAATTCACTGTTAATTGCCCTCTTCTTTATTTTTTATGCTGAAAAATAAAAAGAAGATAACAAAAATTGAATATAATTCTAAAAATAAATATTGCAATTTTCTTAATTATTTTGTAAATTAAAAATAATATAATTGTCTAGAGTGAACCTCCTGTCATTTCTATTAATTTATATATGTGTGTCTGTGTGCATGTGTGTGTGTGTGTGTGTATATATATATATACATATATATACATATATATATATATGTATATGTGTGTGTGTGCGCATATCTGTGTATGTATATATGCGTATATATCTGTGCATGTATGTATGTATATATATATATATATATATATGTGCATGTGTGTGTGTATATCTGTATGTATGTATGTGTATATATATGTATATGTGTGTGTGTATATCTGTGTATGTATGTACGTGTATATATATATATATGTGTGTGTATATATCTTCATGTATATATATATATATATATATATTTTTTATATATATATATATATATGTATATGTGTGTATATCTATGTATGTACATGCATATATATATGTGTTTTTATGTATATATATATATATATATATATATATAAATAAATGCTTAAATATATATATGTGTGTGTGAGTGTATATCTGTGTATATATGTTTGTTTGCATATATATATATATATATAGTTTTAAAAAGACAAATGTGCATGTTTTTCCCTTTAAAACATGACCAGCACCTTATCAGAAGAATCAATGGTGACTAGTATAATGTTAACAAGAAGAGTGGAGTGATAGCCAATCTGGAATGAAATGAGAAACTACAATTAAAGTACAATTTAATATTAAAAAGTTGGGATGAAAAAAGGAGGAAAATTGTACAACTCCAGAATAAACAGTTCCAATGAGTTTAAAAAGGAAAATATAGACTCACATGGCATGCATTAAAGAAAGAGAATGAAGAAATTTCTTTTTCTATGAAAAAAATATATATATATATAGGTTATATATATTTTGCCAGCCATATTTTATAAAAATATTGCACCATGTGATTTCTACTTATAGGCAAAATCTGGATTATCTAAGAGGTGTTGAGCCTGTGTTAAGTCTTGGTTTCTTGGCATCAGGTCATATTGTTTTTAGCACTGTCCACACATTTTCTTTGTTTCTTAAAAATGTTCTGCCCTATCTAGAAAATAGTTTGATCATTTATAAATTTACATGTCAGTATGATGTTGACTACATAGGGCTGACCAATCAGTAATATTTTTGTATTGTATGAACATGTATATGACAATATCAGACCAAGGTATTTTTACAGGTACCTGCAATACACACCTGAGACAGATGACACAAGATTCCATGATAGGTCAACACCTCTTCAACTGTAAAATGATGAGACATTAATGCTAATATAGTGAAGAAAATATGTGTTCTCTGACAGAAATTGAATCTGTACATATAGGATGTATATAATCATTTAGCTTCTGAAAAAAAAATCTAAAAAACAAAGTTGATTACTTTAATTTAAAACAATTAATTTCCCATGATTTTTATATATATCAATTGGTAAAATTCTTTTTCATGATATTTCTTGGACATTCAGGATGGAAAATGTTGTTAATACTGTTTATTATAAACTGAGCATTTACTTAAATATTTGTATCTATAAAATAATGTATAAACAAAAATTATATATATAATATAAAACAAAAAGAAATATATAAACAAAAAATATATTAAAATAATTGTTGGACTTTGTCATACAAGAAATAATATATATTATGAAATGGACTAAGTGGTATATAAAACCTATTTGAGAACAAATGCATATTTATCATTCAGCCATCCTAGTCCTTCCTTCTGTCATGTTAAACTGTTAATATATCACAAATTTACTAATGCCTATAATGGGTAACTGGAAACTGGAAATAGTCTCCCTTTACAAGTATCCCCATTACAGTTAATAATAAATAGCTTTGGATACTTATAAAATCTAAGAACCATCTCTATGATTTATCCATCAAAAAATTAAAAAAACACATTCAATGTTAATTTATTTTTACCTACTTCTTTTACAATTCAATTTCTAATTTATACATTTGTTAATTGCTTTTACAGAATAATATTCCCATCATAAAATGTTTTCTCCTTTCTTCTTCAATTGTGTTGTTAATTTGGTTCCATAATAAACACAATAAATTTATACAGCGGACTGTTTATAGTAAGAAGATGGTTCCATGTGAACAGAGAGAAAGTTTTCCCCAAATCTGAATTCTATGATATGCAGTTTAGTTCAGGTGAATATTCTTAAACAATTCTTCTTTTTCTATGTACCATTGCCCATTCAATTTTTATAAAAATTATTTTCTCCATTATTGTTATTCTTGTAACTCTTAATAAATTTTTTTAAAAATATCTCTCCTAAATTTTGTTCTTCCATTCATTTACACAAGCTCATTTGGTAGGTTATGCATTGTTTTCCTATTGCCTTCAATCCGTCTTGTGAGTATCAACTTTTCCAAGTCCTCTTTCCTTATTATATACCCTGGAAATTTCAACTATCTCTGCCTGTTGTTAAGTATAAACGTCCTCCTTGTTTCCATTTTCTTATTGTTTGTTTATATGCATTTAATTTTGGTCCAATATATTCTCATATCCTCCTATATAACTTTACATTTCTATATTTTCAAATCTCTCTTGATGTCCTTTTTCAGCACAACCGAAAAATGCATTTTTGGTTATTATCTCTAAACATTTACTCATGGAGCTGTGCTTGGTTGGTTATGTTTACAAATTTTCCTCTGTCCATATGACATATTCAATTATTATTTACTATTAAATTCTTGAAAACTTTTGAAAAAATCCATAATTTTCTTTAATATAATTTAATTTTTTTGACATTTATTCACGAGACTTCATAAATGAAAATTTTTAACAAGACTGTAGAAAATATTTTTCCAAATCAGACACCAAATAACAAAAAAAAAATTACTCATGTCAGTGGATTACACGTTTTTCTTTAAATAAATTAATGCTTTGAAAATAAATATTTAACATTCTTCAACAAACAAGTTTCATTTCTGCTAATAATAAAAAAAAACATGCTTTATGATCACTTTGAAGGGTATATAAGCAAAGTTTCTAGACTAGATAGTAAGTAAGAAATTTAACACAAATTTTATTATAGGCATCAGCTTAAAAGAAATTAAATAAACTCATTCCCTTGTCTTTTGTCATCAAGCTTATGATGACAAAAATTGCCTCTTCACTTCCTCCTTTGCCTCTTCTTTCTCACACATACATGCAAAAAAAATCCCATTTCTGTTCATCTTAACAAACAGATTCAAACAAGAACTATAAGAACTTTAACAATCATACATGTTAAGAAAAATTTAGTCATAAAAACACAAAAATCAAAATATTTTATATTTTCATATTTAATCATCTTTTTTGCAATTTTCTCTGCTTTTAGTTGATTCAAATCCACAACAAGCCTAACAAAAAGATTCATTTGACAAATTCACTTAATAATAAAAGATTGAAAAATGGGCATGTCATTGATGTCATTTTAATTTTTAAAAGAGTAATTTTAAACATAAATTGATGGAAAAAAACTTTTCT